CTGCGACCTTCGTCCAAGGGTTCTCCCATAGGGTTACCTTGGTCAGGGATAGCCAAGGGGTTGGATTTCATGAGAGATGCGAGTGGTTCCGCCTCGTCCTAATAATAAACTTACTCCTTTACACCTACGACACTCTTCGGCACAAAGGAGTGGGGGACTGGATCGGCTCCAAAAATCGAGAAAACTCAAAAGCAAAACAAAGCAAGATCACATCACCATCGTCACAACCACGAATACATGGTTTGCCTTCGAATTCGACCAAGTCAAAAGGTGAACCCAGGGGACGAACGTCCTCAAAAGGTGAAGCCAGGGGACGAACGTCCTCAAAATGATGAACCTAGGGGACGAACGTCCTCAAAATGATGAACCTAGGGGACGAACGTCCTTAAAATGATGAACCCAGGGGATGAACGTCCTCAAAATGATGAACCCATGGGACGAACATCCTCAGAATGATGAACCCACGGGACGAACGTCCTCAAAATGATGAATCACACCGTGACCCAAAAAACAAAAACGGGGTCTCCACAACGGCTACAACAGTGATGGCAACTCGTCAGCCATCAAAATACGTCAAGGACGTCAGCCATCAGCTACAAAGAAACCAATGAGTCATGTTACGATGGAGATACAAAGATAGAGGAAGACAGCAACACATGACCTCGCTACGGCCAGAAGCACCAAGAACAACGAAATTACTCCTTTTCACTTCGTCTACATCTCAGCTCAGAGAGTGGGGGACTCCTGATAGAGTATATGTGCCCAGACCCCGTGACCCACATACTCAGAAGGTCAAACACCGAAGACCGCCACCACGTGGCGTCGCATCGGCCAGATGGCACACCATCGGCCAGGACCAAAAGAGCCCAGATCACGGACCGAGAGCCAAAGGCAGAAGTGGGTCTCACGTCGACCTGGTACCCCTTCGGCCTGGTACCGCATCGTCCCAGCAGCGCATCGGACGGACGGCTCCGACAGATTGTATTTCCATGCTTAGTCAAATAAATTATGGACCCAGCCCATTAGTGGCCTTATTATGCCCAAAAGAGCCCTTATCATTGTAATGGGCCTCCTAAGCCCTAGGCTAGGAGTCCAAACCCACATTTACTCCTATAAATAGCCCCCTAGGGGGTAGTTATAGGGGGTTGAGAAATATTAATTACTCACTTCTCTCTCTAGCTCTCACTTCTCTCTAGAATTTATACTCTATCAATTATGTTTTGAACTTTTTGCTCACATATATTTGTTCTCGAGTTAAGATGTGATAATCCCATTGCATTCCATGTAATCTCTTTCATACTTGAGTGTAATTTATTATTTTTTCCCCCTAAGGTCGGGAACACTGTCTCATTGAAATGACAGTCTGAACCCGTGCGGTAAACAAATCACCGGTCATAGGTTCGAGATATTTTATTATTGAGGGAGATTCAAATCCAACATAAACTCCCAAACTTCTTTGAGGACTCATTTTTGTATGATGAGGTGGAGCAATCATAACATAACAGTACAACCAAATATCTTTATGTCTGCTAAGTTTGGCTTTTGTTCAGTAACTAATTGCATTGGGAAATATTTATGATATGCAGGTTGTCTAATTCGAACTAAATTTGCTGCATGTAAAATAGCATGTCCCTAAGCTGATGAAGGTAAATTACACTTCATTAATAATGATCTAGCGATTAATTATAATCGTTTAATCAAAGATTCAGCAAGACCATTTTGTGTATGGACATGAGCAACAGGGTGCTCCACATCAATCCCCATCGACATACAATAATCGTTAAATGATTGGGATGTAAATTCTCCTGCATTGTCAAGTCAGATTCTCTTTATAGAATGACCCGGAAAATGAGCTCTTATTCGTATAATTTGAGCAAGGAGTTTAACAAATGCTAAATTTCTCGTCGATAACAGACTGACATGTGACCAACGTGTTGAAGCATCGATCAACACCATAAAATATCTAAATGGTCCACATGGTGGGGCTATCGGCCCACAAATATCTCCTTGAATCCTTACCAAAAATGTTGGTGATTCAGTTGCAATTTTATTCATAGAAGACCTGATGATCATTTTGCCAAGAGAACAGGCCTTACAAGGAAAATTACTTGACAATGGAACCCTGATATTCTTTAATGGGTGTCCAAGTGAAGTCTTAATAATTTTATGCATCATTACATGGCCCGGGTGACCTAAACGGTCATGCCACAATATGAATGTTTTCTGATCATCTAACTTTGTGTTAGAAACTAAATTTATTTCGAATGGACTAATATATGTGAAATATAGTCCTGAGGAATATGCAGACATTTTTTCACAAATATATTTAGTGCCAGGTTTAGTTGTCGTAAGACAAAGATATTCCTTTTGATTTTCATTCATGGTTTCTATGTGATAATCATTTTGACGCATGCCTTTATAACTTAATAAATTTCTCCGTGATTTGCTCGAGTATAAAGCAGGATTTTTAATTATTTTTGTCCTATTAGGGAGCATCACATATGCTTTCCCAGAACCTTCAATGAGTTTCACAACACCTGATATTGTATTGACTTTAGCTTCAACTAAAGTCATTTGAGAAAAATATACTCCCTTCGTCCCTTAAAACTTTGCCAAGTTTGATCGGCACGGAGATTAATAAAGTAAAAACTGTGTGGTTGAGGACTGCGCAGAGGAGAGAGAATTAACTGGAACCACAAATTCTTTATTTAAATGAGAAAGTGGCAAAGTTAGTGGGACATCCAAAAAAGGAAAGTTGGCAAAGTTTTAAGGGACGAAGATAGTATTTTATTTCTCAAAATGGTGTGCGTTGTGGCGCTATCTATCAGACATAGCTCTTTTCAATACAAGAATGAGGAACAAAGAGACTAAGATGTAGTAAACTGAATAGTTTACTGATAAGTGTTTTAGGAAGTTGTTTTTAAGATGACTAAAAAGCTGTGAAGGTGTTAGAATATTATTTTATTGTGTTCAAATTAATTGTATTTTATTTAATGAGTCTTTGTAACTAATTAGATTAGCTGAGAGAGAATTAGGCTCAATTATAAGTGCTCTAATAATAAGCCCACACGCCTAAGTTGTTGTTTCCTAGTTGTATTAGGAAGTTCGAATATATCTCCTATAAATATAGGTTGAGATGGCCGGAAACTGCTAAGTCTCTACACATTCTGTTTCCGCATATTATTCTGGTAGAGCACATTAGATTAGAAATTCCCTCTCTAGCTTGTTCGAGTACTGTGTATTGTTCTTCATGGATTCATCATTCTATATACACGGTATACATTATTGGTGAAATTTCTCTTCTACTGTTTTAATTCTTCCAATTATTATTAGACTCTTCGACTATTAAATCTGGGCATATTACACACAATTGGTAACAGAGTCTCGGCGTAACTCTGTTCGTTCGAATCTGAGAATTTTTCTGGAATTAATTTGATCAAAATCATAATTTTTGGTTGAATAAATTTTGGATATGTTTTTGGAAACATGCTAAATTTAGAAGGCTGCTTTAACAAGGAAAGCTACGGAATAAGTATCCCAGTCAGATTTGGTTGTTGTTCCTCCCACACCCGAGATCCTCAGAATTTCGGTCATCCGAAATCCTGAAATTTCATACATCCGAGATCCCTTTTATTTGCAGGTCACCCGAGATTTGGTTCCGAAATCAGCCTATCCGAATTTCTAATCTCGGACGCTCGAATTCATTACATCCGAGTTTCTAATTTCGGACGCCCTAAATCAGTACATCCGAGTTCCCAATCTCGGACGCCTTAAATCAGTTCATCCGAGTTTCTAATTTCGGACACCCGAAATATTCTTCCGAGATCAGAATCAGAAATCTACTTTAATCAGTATCGATCTCTTAATTCTTCTAAACAAGCATCGGAGATGATTATGGCGGCTGGATATGTTGATATCCAGGTTGAGACCGATGCAGTCCTTTCGTTAACCATGATTAACGATTCAGGAAACTGTGCTGGGTTACAGGGTTTTAGAAGGAACACGCTGGACAGGGGATATTCTTTCGGACATGTATTGAGGGAAGGAAACGGGCCGACCCATCTTTTAGCAGCCCATCCTATTATTCCGGTCCTGTGTGTTCGATTCCATAAGGTTACTCATTTACCAGGTTTGGTTAAAGCTAGTTATTTTGCTGATTTCTTCGGAATTCCTAGTTTAAGTTCCTAATTATTGTATTTTTAATTTTGGGTCAGGTCTAGCCCCCCCCCCCCCCCCCCCCCCCCCCCGCCAAATTTTTGAGTATTTCTATGGTTCTTTTTCATACTTGTATTTTCGAGAGGAATGCCTCTCTGATGGGAAGTATTGGTTCGATCCCCCTCTCTTTTTGTACTTCTTATATTTCTTTAATAAAATAACGACAAATGTTCTCCGGCATTTGTCTCACTAATTTTGGTGGTTTGCCTTCCGGGTTAAAAAATGAGGGTATATATATGCATATTTATTAAAACAAAACTTTCTAAAAATGAATAGAACAACTATTTAAGAACAACCCAAAATGAAATAAGAGACAAATATTGAACGGAGAGAATATGTTTTTTCCTTAAAAGGACTGAATTATCATCTACACTCTCTTCTAGTTTTGCTACTTTAATCATTAAACCTATTACTTTACTTGGAGAATAATGTACCAAAAACATGTACCAATCCTTAAAATAGACAATTTAGGGAATTTCTAGTTTTTTATGAACAAAAAAGGCTAATTAATTTATAGATAAAAAATTTCAATTAAATATGAACCCGACGTGTAGCACCTTTAAATAGACAATTTAGGGAATTTCTAGTTTTTTTAAGAACAAAAAAGTCTAATTATAATTAGTAGATTAAAAAATTCGAACTAAATGAACCCGACGTGAATCGAACACGCAACCTTCTGATCTGGAGTCAGACGCGCTACCATTGCGCCACGGATCCAATATTGGTAGAATTGTTGATTACAATATACATGTATACGAAACACTAAACATTCCTTCCCAAAATAGCTTATTTGGGCGCCAGTACCTTATCCGAATTTCAATCTGCGGAAAATGTTGAAAATGGCTTCTCCTTCGCATTTGCATCCCTGCTCTGCTCAGGTACTCTCACATCCTCTCTCGGTGTTCGAATTCTTCTATTCTCGATTTTGTTCTCCGTAACCTCTGATTGGCAGTTTCTGCAGCAACAATATCTGTGGGGTTCGAAGCACGGGGCTTTTCCATCAACTGTGTTCCTCATTAATAAGGATTTACCGTTGAACGCTCCCAAGCTCCGGTTAAAAGCCGTTGATGGATCCTCCGGTGATGGCCTGCCGGACGGAAACACTCTTTCCAAGGTACACGCACGCCCCCTTTGTGTTCAGTTCCGCCATTACCGACACTGCTTCACCTTAACTCAGACAGATTTTTCCTCATGTTTTGGAGGACTGTTTTTAACTATGTGCTTGCTTTTGGAGTAGTTTAAGTTTAAATGATCTGAGCTGGAGGAAGTACTGAAGTGCTGCTTGGAAAAAAATATACTGTAGTTTTTAATAAACATTAGGTTCTCCTGAGCTTCATGGTGCTATAGGGGTTGTTTAGATCCACCATTGTGAATTGGAAGGGCAGTAAGATTAGGTTTCTAGGTTGCATTTTTGGTTTCCCCATTACCTAATCTTTGATGTTACATATAATAACATGTAAAATTACAAGGTTGATTTTTAAAAATGACTAAAGTCAGCCTCCACATCATGGAACACGACCCTCTTCAAGCAAAATCTATGTCACGTAAAATAGGGGCGTACATTTTGGTTCAGTTTTCAGTTCTGTTCCATTTGAATCAGATATGAAGAATGATTATCAAATAAAAATCATAACCCGTGTTATGCTTCGCTTCCGATTTTTTTTAATAAAAAGTATTACGGAGTAATATTTTATTGAATATTATAATTAGGTTTAGAAAAATTATTATCAAACTAGGAACGACCAAGCATGCAAAACTCTATGATGTGATTTTATTGAATGTATTTCTCCTCAACTACTTTTTTCTTCTTCATCTTTGTCTGAGAAATTCTTTTGTGCACATATTACCGGTTGCACAAAGAGAAAACTAATGTTGTGTTTGGATTTATAGGCCACCCACAATACTCAAGATACTAAAACAAAGAGCATCGTGTGTGATGATTGTGATGGAAATGGTAAGTGGGTTGGCTGCATTTTTCGTGGCTTGGAATTGAACTCAGTAGATTAGATCCCCACCCCTCTTTTTCGTATTCTTCTGATGTAGTTCAGGTTTCCATGAAGTCATATATCTCATATATGAATAATTTTCGGCATATGAATATGGTGAATAATGACATAATTACAACGAAACAACATCCAAGCCTTATTCCCAAAAGATTTTGGGGAATAAAAGTTCAGCATTTGGTAAAAAATCAGGGATGAGCTGAAAGATGCGTTACCAAACAACGTGCAATTAAAAGTGTATGTTGTATGCTACTGATGAATTGGCAGGGGCAATATTGTGTTCACAATGCAAAGGGAGTAGTTTAAACTCGGTCGACCATTTCAATGGGCAGTTCAAAGCTGGTCAACTGTGCTGGCTTTGCCGGTAAGGCACCATCTTATGACTCAAGATGCTAGGCTGCTCCCACGGACACATGTTTATTGGTGTTTTTTTCTCTTCTTATTTAGGGTGCGATAGAGTGGAAAAAGTAATGGATTGCCATTGCCATGTGAGTTTTGAGACTTGTTTTTATTCCTTGCAGAGGTAAGAAGGAGATTCTATGCGGAAACTGCAATGGAGCTGGCTTTATTGGTGGATTTATGAGCACTTTTGATGAATGAATGGAAATTACGTTTGGAATGACTAGGGGTGCTCCGTGTACCACCAAACAGGCCAATATTGCATGAAGCACAAGTACAATGCAGTGGATGGCTGGTGAAATTAAGTTTGGGTCGTCATTCGTTCCTTTTGAAATAATTATTGAATGAATTATATGTGGGGATGGATTTTCCTCTTGCACATGCAGTAATATGTCTTTCCTCCCTTCAGATATGCAAATGCGAACTCACTTCCTTATTAATACTCTGTACTATATAAATAAGGATATTTAATGACTGAAGCAGAGAAAGAAAGTGTGAAAATTTATCATTGCATGTCCTTTAAGAGCAGTAGGAAGGACAATACATACTCAAATGTATTTTCACCTTGTAATTAATATGCATGCTCATGGTATCATTATTGCGAAAATACTAGTCATCAGCTCTCTTTGTTCTCTCCTTCATTCAAGCCACAGTAGACACACTGTTACACTCATTAAAACCATACCACACTCCGCGGGGCACAAATCGGTTGTATTGAAAGGTAATAGACTTGTGATTCGGACTGGATACCGTGACAGTCTCGGGTTTCCATCCGTCCGTTCCGACCCTGTACAGGTAGAGATAGCAGATGTCATACATGCAAGGTCCCTCTATCTGGAATGTGTCCTTTGAGCATCTCTCGAATGTCTTAGAATGCGGATCATCCAGCCTTGGTGCATACACCTGCACCCATCCACATTATGTATGCACATTTAACAACGGTAATGAGTTAATGATAAACAAATCATTTCATGCACAGTGTAATAATTTATAGTGTATATCTGCATATAATCTGCAGGCTAATTGGTTTCGTCTTTAGGTAGACTTGGATCATCACCTCATTGCTGTAAGCATCGCCAAATGAAAGGCTGATTTTATCTCTGGTGTACTTCACTGAGGAACAACTTGTTTTTATACTCACTGTGTATGAACATTTGCTCGCCCCAATCTGAAATTCATTCATTTCAACAAAAACATCAAAACCAAATTAAATTTCTAGTGGCACCCTCTTCTCCCGTTCTTCTCTCTCTCTCTCTCCTATTTTCTTACCTGCTGGTGGTGGTTGGCATTGGCATGGAAAGACGTGTCAATATGAGGCTCTGTTGAAACATCTCCTGAAGCTGCTGCTATAGATGTGGCAAAGAACATGGCAATGGTGAGAGCAAGGATATGTACTACTTTTTCGCTCATGTTTTCCTGCTTCAAATCTTTCTCTCTTCGATCAATTGCCTTTCAATAGACGTGTAGTGTGGTATTTAAAGTCGAGTGCCCCAACTCTTTGCGCAATTATTATTAAATAATTACGGAGTAGGTATTAGCGGGTCAAAGTTGTTAGACTTATCAGATTAATTTTTATATCTATAAGGTAACATTAGAGTCCAAAATACATAAGAATTCCTTGAAACTCGGAAATATAGTAAGACTACACTACTAGATATGGCACTGTGGTGGGGCTTGGGGTGGGAGTTCACTCCATCATCCCCTGGGCCTGCCGGGACTTTTTCTGCAACACTTTGGCCTGGTACCGGCCCAGACCCAAATAATACATGTTCGGGTCAGGTCGGTTTGTTGGAAAATATTTTATTGTGATCAATGTTATTTTTGCACTGTCTCTTAATAAAGCATTAGTAGACTAGCCTTGTACAGTGTGCAATTGGGCCACCTCAATAAAAAAGCCTAATCATACTTGGGTCACATCAACCCATTTCCTTGGCATATAAATATTGCCTTAAAAGGAATGAGTCGTAAGCCTCTTTCAGAAATTCAGCGCATACATTATTCTACGCTAGAGAGAGAAGTGAAAAAAACGCCGTTCATACTTGAGTTGTAGTTCAAAATCCTTTTGGTATTGAATCAGATCATCTTTTCTTCTCTACTCTATCCTATTTTATTATTTTGATTGGTGCATACAAGGGTAAACAATTGGTATCAGAGCCGAACGTGCAATCGATCGAAGATTTTCTGCAATTCCGTATCTGCCATTGACGTAGAGACAAGTTTTTCGAAAATCTCACTTACTGCAATTTTTGGTTTGATCGAGTAGCATTTGACGTTATTCTGTGATTTGTGGAAGATTTCGATCAACATCGGAGATAAGACTACCTGAAATCACATTTCTGTGAATTTTTTAGATCGTTTTCGCAGGTTCCACGAAGAAGACCGATTTTTCGAAGTTTTGAGATTTCGAAGTTCAACATCGAAAAACAAGTGCGAAAAAGTTTTTTCGCAGTCAACATCGAAAAACTCTGTGACTGGTGAACATCGAAGAAAATTTTGCGAAGTTGGACATTGAAAAATTCTTTGTGCAGTTCAAGGTTTTCGCATTTAGGTTCGAAAAACTTTTTCGTAGTTTAGGTTCGAAAAACTTTTTAGCAGATTAGGTTTTCAGAGCCCAACTTCGAAAACGGACTTCGAAAACGAGGTCACGAAAACCAGTGAAGATTCGAAAAACAGAAAGCATTAAAAAAACAGGAAGGAGGGACAAAATAGTCTTTTGAGACCCGCTAAATTTCGCGATTGTCGTGTCCACATGTCAAACCTTGTGAGCGAGAGCTCCCCTCTTCTCCTTCACCTTTTACTACTAAGGAATGAGTGGTTCATATATATATGCTCAAAAGTTCTCAAGAAGTTTAGTTGTGGGAAAGTTAATTAGCTTCCTTTCTTCCTTGACTTGAAAAAGTACATTTTTTCCATATACCTTCTTCAAGAGCTAGTTTTGAGCCACTTCAAACTTTAAGGTCCAACCTCCAACACCAAAGGTCAATACTATGGTCAAAGCTTCCAAGAGTCAACCTTGAGATTCAAAAAAAAAATTCAAAACAAAATAAAAAAAAATCTCAAGGTTAAGACTATCTTTTCTCAAACTCCAAGTTACACTTTAAGGTCGAGGAATTTGCAGAAACTTCAATCAACCTCATGTCAACGATCAACATTCAACAATCAACAATGGATGCCTCCTCCAGCCCATCATCATTGTGTAAGAACAAATGCGTTGAAGTTTCTGATGAGACTGAGGTAAGCAAATCTGACAATCAACAAATTATTAAGGATTTGGAAGAGAGATTAGCAAACAACCATAAGGTTTTACTGAAGCATTTATATAATATTGCTATAACAACTCAGAAATTCAACCAATCAGAAGAAAAGGTCAAGAAGCTAACCTTAGAAAAGGAAAAATTAGAAGTTAATGTCAGTGACTTAACTAAACAATTGAAAGCTTCTAAACTTGAACACAACACAACAAAAAGCTGTTATGAACATATTCGAACTCAACGATGTAAATTATATTCTAAGATTAAAGAGTTGGAGGACTTACTTGGAAAGAGAGTTCAAACAGATCAAACCATTTTCTTAAACCAACCTAAAGACACAACTTTCTACAATCCCAAGGAAGGCTTAGGTATCCAAAACCCATGCAACTTGAAGAAAGTCAATTGTTATCAACTGTATGACATTGGATATATGAGCTTGGGTTTGACGAAACTTATGTCCTTCGTGGGAGCGTCAGGAACTGATGCCGAAGGAAAAGAAAATAGAGAAAATAATCTTAAGGCTGAGATCTCGTTTGACGACACTAAACTGAATGCTAGTTATAAGACTAGGGAAATTCCTTTGTTTGATGACTATGTATCACTTTTTCTTCCAGCAAGTGAGTCTGAGTCTGTGTCTACAGGGGAAGAAAAACATGTTTCTAAAAAATACGAAACTGACAATGTTTACATTCCAAAGATCATCCGTAAAATTGTGGACTTGCACAGATCTTTGGAAACTGAAAGAGAGGTCTTCAAAACAGAAAAATAACAACTTTTAAATGAGATTCTCTTCTCAAATTTATCCCCAGAACAGACACAACCTCCACCTCCTCTCCTATTTCAAAGAGTATTTTAAATGAAATTTCAAGTTCAAGCTCTCCTCTACCACACACGATTCTTCTTAGTCTTCTTCTAATGACTCTAGATATGTGTTTTCTCATTCAAGTGTTGAGGTTAGCAAGCTCGACAAACCTAAGAAAAAGGGTAAGGATTCTAAACTTCATTGTGATGTGAATGATGACAAGTCTAAACAGAAGAGTTTTAAAGCTTCAACCTATACTGTTTGTGATGGTGTTTGTCTGACTTATCCTCTCAAGGTTTATTCAGCCAAATATCTGAGACGGTTATCAAGGGAGAAAATCTTTACTTCTTGAAAATATGTTCCATCATTCACTTGCGCTGAAAATTCTCTCACACCTGCAATAACTCAAAAATGGGTTCCTAAATCTGAATACCAGTCATATATAGCTCTCCAAAAGCTTCAAAAGAGACTGGTTTAGAAACAAAAATAAAACAAAAATTTCAAAAATTTGTTTGATGCTAAAAGGGATGGACACACCCTAAAATGGGTACCAAAGGTTTCTTAACCCTTGCAGGTCAGTCATGTGTGGTAACTGAACCAATTGCTCCACACACATCACGGGTATCAAGACGAGCTGTGAGCAATCAACATGGGTACATTATGAAGGGGAGTATTAGCGTGTATACTACCCCAATGAGCTGAAAATCAACAAATGCACACCTCAACAACGACACACGTCAAGAATAAACAACAAGTGCATATCATGAGGGGAGTGTTTCTTTTTCACTCCTCCTGATGCCATACAATGAAGAAAGCACATTCCAAGGGGCAAACTTCTACTTTACTCCTCGGGTGATAAATAAACCACTTGCAGCTTTTGAGGGCGAGTTTCATTTTTCTCCTCCTCGCCAGACAATGAACAATGCAAGGATTCTCTCAAGGATGCAGATTTTGAGGGGTGTCTCAATTTTCTCCTCCCCGGTTCTAAACAATGACAAAGCATACCTAGTGCTCCAGTTGAGTGGGAGCACAAAGAGAATAAATGAACAAATCAATGAGAAAGAAGTCTTAATGGCTTAGTAAAACCCAACTAAGTCTACCCAAGGGACAAAGATGAGAATGAGTGAGTGAGTGAACACTATGAGAGTGAGGAAGCAGAAGGCTCAAGCGAGCAAGAGAAAAATACTCAATGACATGTCTGCTACCTGAATTGCGCTATGAATTGAGAAAGTTACTCTCTGTCACTCAAATACTCCGAACAATCCCCATAGGTTCAGAAATGAATTTATTCAGATTCTGCGTAGAAGTCGTTGCATCTTGTCCAAACGGCGCATGCACGACCCTACCCTAGACCACTCATTTGTCTCCCAACAGACAAATGTTTAATCATATTTCACGAGGAACCACATCTCTCATCATTGTCTCCTTTTGAGGTGAGTG